AGCGATCCTGAGAAAGCATCACAGTGCACAGTGAATGTAGTGATATTCTTTGCGGAACGTTTACCGACGGCTAACGGAACACACTGGTCCCACTTTGCCTTCGCCTTGAGCCCCATTTCTCGGGCTCTGACAGCAGCCACGCAGCGACTAGTAGTCTAGATAGGTAGTACTGTCGGCAAAGTCATACCCTTGTCTTTGCCGGCAATACCATCTGCCTAGTCTACTAGCTCCTACAGCTGTTGTCAGGGCCCGAGAAATGAGACTCAAAGCGAAGGCGGAGCGGGACCAGTGTGTTCCGCTAGCGGTTGGTGAAAGTTCATTATTTAGTGTCCGTATCTGCCGACCTCAAGCCGACAAAACAACAAACTCGTGGGTCAGTTGTTAGTGTCTGACCAAACAGTCGCAAGTTCGAGCCTCGGATGCTGCACCACTTGAAGTTGGTTATGACTAGCTGACGAAGGCTAACAAGCCAGAAATGGCCTTTCCAGACCCCCCCCTCCTTGTCTTTGCCGCCAATGCTATCATTGAACTTTTTATTAAACCCCTCTCACGACACGATCGGCGATTTTCCGATGAAAAACTTCAAGCAGCAACGCGTACAACGTGTTTTTTTTCGACATCAAAGGAGTCGGCTGCGCCTCATGGTACCACAGTGAACCAACATCTATAAGTGCTTGAGCGAGTTCATAAAGCAGTGAGAAAAAACGGTCTGTATTGTGGCGATCGAGCCCTAGCTGCTTCATCATGTTAACCCACCTGTTTACACGATGTTTAAAATCAACAAGCTTTGGCGAAAAACGGCATGACAAGTACTCATTATTCTCCTCACACGCCTGATCTAGTAGCTCCTGTGACTTTCTATTTTCAATAATAAGGAAACCCCTAAAGGAAAATGTTGTTTCGAAAGTAGAAGAGGTGAAAAAAATCATCGGAGACAGGTAACAGCATTATTTTAGAGGCATATACAAAATTCTATTTACGTTGGACAACCCTTTAGGCAAAGTGAACATCACCTAAAGGAAGTGATGCTTTTACGACGTTATCTTAAAAAGGTAAATAGGTATAATTCTCGTTTTTGGTACAACTCGTAACTGGTACATGCGCAAAGATCCGGCACCCAGAGAGGACTCAGAATCGTGGAAACAAGATTTGAAATCATACCAGTATAATGCAATGACTTGACTTCAAATACCCGGCAGAGCCCAGAAACTTAGAGAAGTGATATCTGGAGCTGACTGTTGGAACGTATGCATGTACCCACACCGCGGCGCACAGTACATGCATGCCACCATGCACACCTTGCATGCCATTCATCTAAGACCAGAATATCCCCGACCTAGGCGCACGGTCAATGAAGTTTACAGGAGGTCAGCGTCCATCTCACGCTATATTAGGGTGTGTGTGTGTCTGACTATCGGTTTCGATGATATCAACCCAGTGCACCAACAGGTTTGTAGAGGAGGTGACGGCCTCAGGGCTTAGTTTAAAGTGACAGAGGACGTAGTTAGCGGCTTCGCACTCTTCACCCTCCCCCATGAGTCTCGAAGACTAGACGGGATCCGGCGCGGCTGCTGTATCAA